GTAATACATATCAACCATTATCTTTGTACTTTTTTCAGTAATGTTATTATTTTTGCTTTAATTCAAATCTTCCCTTGTTCTACAGGTACAGTGTAAGAGAGAAGATACTTGCATTGGCTTTCTATTTGCAAAGCCCAGCCCTGTACAAGTGGCTCCGAGCGATATTTCACTTGCCAACAAAGTTGATCCTGGAAAGGTGGCTAGAAGGTATTGCAAAAAGTGATCCTGACACAGCTAAAAGACTGATGTACCATGTCTATACTAAGTACATCTTCAAACAGTGATGTGAATGCAATGGTAAGACTGCAGTTGTACAAAATTTTGAGACATGTGTTTATTTTATTTAATGTACAGTGAATGATACACAACTGTTGTATATGTGTTAATTATATTGTACATACAAGGTAATGTTTCTAAGGAAAGTGTCCTGAGTGGGAGGGGGGAAATTTGTGTTACAAAAATTGAAATTCACTTTAAGTTGGTTTTGATTACTTAACCCACTCACGCCGGGTACATTTTGTAGCCAAAATAAAAAAATCCGGGCGGCTACAAAAATCGGTGGGCGGAGCTTCCCCGGAGTCTGTCCGCCCGCCTGCCCGTGCGCCGCTGCTGTGTCGGAGCCCCGATACAGCGTCACACTGGCGGGACGCCCGGCAATGTTTATTTTTTCCTCTGTCTCATTTATGTGACACCTGGAACGAATGGGTTAAGGTATCTAAAATGCTACATACACAAATATTAGATCATGTGAGATGATATTAAGCTTTATTAGCTAGTAGCTATCAAACTTATGCTAGTTCATGTGGCATTTTCAACAAAAAATCTGCTGTAGTTGTAAGAATGTCTTATTTTTTATATTTTGTATTTATGAACATAATAGACTTATTACAGCCAAGTTAAGGGGACTGTCCTGTGAAATGCCCACCTTTCCCTACTCATTTCATCATAAAAAAATATCAGTTGGAGATAACTCATTGATTGTTTTTGCATAATATAGAGTATATAATTGTGCTTTGTCTCATATATGATTTCAACCTCACTCTCCCATGGGTGGGGGGCTAAAAAAAAGTCGAAAAAAACTTCTTTGGTACATCCTAGCTCCCACAGTTTTTTCATTTACAAGCGTAAGGCGTGTAAATGGCTGATTTTTTTATTTCCATTTTTTGGGGATGGGGGACTGGGTGACATAGATTAACCTTTTTGATCATTTTTTTCAGCTTTGTAGTCTATATGTTCTTATTTAGTACAAAATTTAAATATTGGCCATTCACATGGCCTTAGAACTCCAAGGCTCTAAGGAAAGCAACAAACTGCATTTGGTATAAAAGTGTTCTTTGAACATTCACGAACTCATATCTATGCGCAATGTCATTAGATGCACGATTGCAATAAGCAAAGGTCGACATAGGTGTACCTGGGTGCACATGCACATTTGTGGTGTACCTCCTCACATGTTGGTGGGCCGTCTGAGAACTTGTGGCAGTGGATTTGCATCCACTATTGACTGGTGTCAATCATCTCTTTAAGGGGACCGTCCCAAGGGTGTGAAAATTTTGTCAAATTGAGTTAGCTAGCATATAGTATAGGTACATGAATGAGGAAACTACCAAATGAGTATTAAATCCCAGCTACTGTTAGTTTGTAGGAGACCCCCGCAAACTGCATCACAGCATAGTTCCCCTTAGGTTGGGTCACTCAGGTCCACAGCCGGTCCTCTTGCCCTCACCATCAGCAGCTTCTCGAAGACACATACTGGAAACTGATTGGTTGACACCGGACACCTCATGGCTCGCCTGTTGGACCACAGGCTCCCCTCGCTCCCGGGTAGCTGACACAGTTCAGCAGTACTTAGGCTCCAGCGCCCGGGCTGAGATCAGCACTTACCGATCCTCTAGCAGAGCAAGACCACAGCAAGCAGCACCAGGCCTATCCAGGCCTTAGCCATTGGGGGAGCCACCCCAGCTTTCCCCATCGATCTCCAGCACCCCAGCCATACCTGTGGGCACTCACACCCACTTCAGTTACTCCTTAAGTAGATATCCAAATAGGAAGGGATAAAAACCTCCTAAAAGCTGTGTATGTTCCAACTTGCATATAGCCTATTTGAAAACTGGTGGTAATACTGGACAAACAACAAGGTTGTCCATAATTAGGTGAACTTTCTTAAAGATCTGGTTGTACCATTGAATAGGCAGTGATATAGTGCAGGAAATTAACAGAGATTTTCTAAATTTTGGTTTAATATTTATATGCCAAATGATTTTTTTTTCTGGGGAAAGTAAAGAGAAATAAAAAATCCCAAGTGTAGTTGAAAATTAGGCTATTGTTTTCTTATTTTCTTAATTGAATGAAGTTCTTGAGTATTAATAGAAACACAGTGTAAAAAAGGAAGCAAGACTGTAGAATGGAATTTTTTTTTGCAATTCCTCTCACCCCCATGCAAGATAGTCCTCTTAACTGTTGAAAGCTATTTGAAGTATATTGAATTTTGTATATTGAGTGGGTTGTAATATACTATTGTATTTCATTGGCATTTTATTAGAGACCTCAAAATCATTAAAAAGTTTGTCCAAGAACCATCTCACAGACTACAAACATGTGTTATACATGTGTTATCATATGTGATAATAGTACTAAGAGAGAGTGATAGGGAGAAAAAGAAAGGGAGAAGAGAGAAAATGAAAAGATGAAAGAGGACAAGTAGAATGAACATAATGAAATGATAAAAATACCTACAGAACAAAAAATGGTTACTGACAAAATGGGAATGCAAAATACAAGCCAAAGGAAAGAATGATTGACGAGAGACTGTCAAGAGAAACAATTGTGAGATATGTAAGGATTTACTTGAGTATTATGAAACGTCATTTAATCACCCAGAATTCTTTTGACATCTAGGCATTCTCTTTTACTTAGTCTCTTGTGATTAGATTTCTCACAGGTACGTCAAACCTTTTATGCTTCAAGTAAAGCGACTTTACAAATATATACAAAACTGAAACAATGTCAAGTAAGTACCAACAAGGTATTGCAGTCATAACATCATTTATAACTCAGGCAGGCTGTGTAACATCCAGTCCTATCATAGCAAAAAATTCACTGATGTCAGGAGACATGTGACCATGTCAGCAGTCCATTTTCTGTTGGCAGAGAGCCATACAATATTCCAAGCTCAAAGTGGCTTGTGTTAATGGGCTCTGGCATCGTTAGGCTTTACCCAAAATTTTATCCATTTGAATGGTTTAAAGTAAACCTAACATATCCTATTAATAAACACATGGAATATTGGTAATCTTCAGATGTATGATTTTCTCTTTTTTATGTATTTACAAAGTTCATAAAACTCCTCTTTTACTCTAGCAATACTGCATGTCAAAAAGTTCTGATGAACTGGTGAGATTTAGGTGAAGAAAAGACACTCCTTGGTAGTACTTGTTTATCTTACATAATTACACAGTTGGCTATACAAAGAGACCCTGAAAATGATTTATTCATACAAGAGAATTTCATTTGAAACAAAATGATGATACGTAAGTTGAAAATCCTAGAACACAGGGTTGAGTGATATGAGAAATCTGTCTTTACACCCATTGGGTCGGACCCACTTCTAGACCTTGATTGCTCATTGGCAGCACACAAAACCAGAGCAAGCAAATGGTCAGCAAACTGTAAGGAAAAAATGTAACAAAGTATTGGGACATTACATGTGGATATGCAAAGTGTAGACAGGGATACAAGATCAAACAGAACTAATGCAAATGACTAGTGTGTCATGGTGGTAAGTGTATGGCCTAAAAAGTATACGATGGGAGGCACAGTCCCTTGTCCATGCCATGAATGTGGTGATGTAGGAGTTCCATTCATTTTAGCATGGCTGTACATGGTAGAAACAGCATTGTTATCAAACAAACATTCCATCTGTGACTTTACTTTGATGATATCTGGATCACCTTGTATAATGTTACTGTAATTAGTAAAACATGCAGAATGAACTTAATATTGTCATATCAGGCATGGAATTCTAGGAGGTTCAATTTATAACCACTCCATTCGCACTAACAAGCAGTGATTTATGCAGATGCCCCCACTACACACACACAAGTGGTATTGTTACATTCTCTTGGTATTTTCTCTCTCAGATTGCCTACCAGAGGGGGAAAATTGGTAATTATAAGTATGTCAAGCCAGAGTAACCATAGCACAAATGTATATGCGGAAGCTTCCTACATAAATGCTCAATGTAAAGCTTTCCATAATGATCAGCAACAACTTGAAATGCTGCTTTGTTGCCTGCCTTTGAACATGATTGCCCTGAAGATATTATTTTTCTTTTTGCCATATTGTAATTGTAGACCACTACTGAAATAATGTGTTAGATTCTTAAGGTTCTTCATAGTTTAAACTGCTTTCAGTTCATGTTGTGCAGTTCTAGCATGGGGCTTCATTCTTTGAAACAATTATTTAAAAATAAGCAGAAAATGCAAATATTGTTTGATCATATTAACACAAAATCTACTTGATAATCAGCCATCTGAATGTTGTAAGTACTAAGCTAATATGTGGTCTTGAGTTATCACTTCATAATCATTTCTTTATCAGCCCCAGTGAACACTTCACATATTTATCATAAGTAAATCTTGGATCCGTAGCATTTAATCATAATGTCATATTTCTAAGGCTAAAGCCACATACTTGAGGAATTTTGTTTAAAGCCCAATAAATTTGTGAAGAGAAATGTCATATTTTCTTGTACTGGGCATTAGATAAGCAATGAGATATTAATTACAAGTCACTATAAAGTGATTTCTACATCTTTAACAGTTTAAAAGGACTTTAAGTACTTGCCAGTGTTATCTGGATCTTTACTTTTAATTTCCAAGAGAAGACATGTGATAGACTATGCCCTGGGGATTCTCAATATCACATTAATAACTCCATCATTCCTTAAAGTTAGAAAACATACAACTTGAGCAATGCAAAATTCTTGAAGATACTTTTTT